AATAATAATAATAATAATAATGCAAATTTTCAAAAAAAAAAAAGACAGTAAGTCAGCGCAGATGCTTATTACATGCTATACCAAAAGGGAATACTAGTTCTTGAAAAATTTTAATTAGGACTTTCCATCTGACCTAGAGCTCACCTTATCTAACTCCCCCTTATTGCAGTGGTACACAACAAGCCTTGGAAGTGTGGAGACCAATGGTAAGGAGGGCAGACAGGTTGGCAGGGCCTTTACTTCAGATGGGAGAATCAGCATTCGGGAGCTACCTCACAGAGCTGGGAATCTTGCTCTAAAGTTCTTTGTGCTCACCATTCTGGTGGGTTGTTGGCTGTCTTAGTGCTCAGTGTCCTGTTGCGTTGATGGCTTATCAAGTCCCTCATACCCACCTACCCCCAGTTTATATAGAAAGTTGACAGTCATACTGCTATGGTGATCAAAAATGAAACATAACATTTTTTTTTTTTTTTTGCTGGCATACTCTGATAATTGTTTTTAAAAACTCAGCTGGGTGTAGTGTCTCACACCTCTTATTCCAGCACTTTGGGAGGCTGGGATGGGAGGATCACTTGAGGCCAGGAGTTCAAGACCAGCCTGGCCAACATAGCAAGAACCTGTCCTACAAAAATAAAAAATCAAAAAATTAGCTGGGTACAGTGGTACATGCCTATAGTCCTAGCTATTCAGGAGGCCGAAGCAGGAGGATCACTGGAGCCTGGGAGATCAAGGCTGCAGTGAGCTGTGATTACACCACTGCACTCCAGCCTGGGTGACAGATCAAGACCCTATCTCCAAAAACACAAAACCAACTCTGTACCTCCTTGTAGATTTTCAGCTTGACAGCTACAACTTTATAAATTCAAATAGAAGAAAAGGGCCAGGCACTGTGGCTCATGCCTATAATCCCAGCACTTTGGGAGGCAGCAGTGGGTGGATGACCTGAGTTCCAGGAGTTCAAGACCAACCTGGCCAACATGGTGAAACCCTGTCTGTACCAAAAATACAAAAATTATCCAGGCGTGGTGGCAGGTGCCTGTAATCCTAGCTACTTGGGAGGCTGAGGCAGGAGAATTGCTTGAAACAAGGAGGTGGAGGTTGTAGTGAGCCGAGATGGTGCCACTGCACTCCAGCCTGGGTGACAGAGCAAAACTCCGTCTCAAAAA